GTGCTGCCTTCAGAGCCGGGCTCCTGGCCTGTAGTCGCCACGCTCTGGCAATTCATCTCTGAAGGCAGCACAAAAGTAAGGGTGGCAATACCGTGACACCTTTACAATAACCAGATTTTCTGGGGGAGACTAGATTTTCATGGTCGTGAATTTGGTAGGGCCCTACTTATCAGTGCTGCTATGCCAGGCCAAAGGTTTGAGATCTCACCATTATCACAACATTAAAACTTGAAGCAGATTTGACTACCCTGTGCATAGCATAGGGAAACAGTATTGTCTCTACCTGAAAATTTGCTGCCAAGTTAGTTAGTTTCAAGTTATTTGGGGGGCTATTGGTGTTATCCTCAAAAGGGAGTTTGACTATGCATGGAAGGCCTAGATAATAGTTTAATAGCATGAATGCTGATGATTTTAATATAAAAGATACAGAATGTCCAAAGTGGTGAACCAGATGGTAGTGGCGATGAGGAAGTTGGAGCTGTGAAGTGCTCCAATGGGCTTCCCAGACCCAAAGTAACATCATACTAGGAAAAAAAAAATGAAAGAAGATGGTAGAGAAATGGACAGCATGTAACAGCCCAAATTCAAAGAGGGGAAAAGCACTTGCAGAATTAAGGCACAATCATCAGAATGGCGTGAAGAAAATGAAGTACACCAGGAGTGTAGGAACAAAAAATGCAAGGATAAAACAAAGACAATTTAGGCTAAAAATTCAGTGAGATTTTAGATAGGATAAATAAATTAAAGTGGCATTAGTAGTCTGAGAGATTAGATATGACTAATGTAAATGGAAAAACTAAACTCAATTAATTGTTAGGGCTGATAAATTACATCGGTCACAAAATTCAGAGCTAAAGTTTCTAACAGAACGTTAACTCTGGCTTGTTGCATACCTTGTATATTATGGTATACAATTTGTTATCCAACATTGCTATTTTACACATACAAACATCAATAAAAAAATAGTACAAATACATGGAAAATGGCTAAATTGATGCTGTTTCAGAAAAATCAGAGTTAAGGTTTCCAACTGCTGCAATGTTTTAAGTGCCCTGAGACTCTGTCAACATTTTCAGAGCTGATAAGACTCTTAATTTGTCTTACTCTACTCTCGTATCTGTATGAAGTGTAATAAACTTTGCAGAGTGCTTCTGATGTTTTTAGTTTTTTGTTTGTTTGTTTTTTTTAAATCTGCAATTCAGCTCTTGCAAACAAACAAAAAACAACTCTTCATAAGGTACAATATCAGCATGGAGGTTATCACAAACGGTTCTAGGGCCAAGGAGTTCAAATAATCCAAATACCGTGATACTAGTTTCTTAAAAAGAGAATGGTGCCTATTAAAACTAAAATGATTCAAATAGAGGGAGAAGAGAAGCGTTCACACTTTAACAACAAATTCAGACAAGATAAGGAAAAACAGTTGAAACTGAATAACATATATACTAAGTGGGATTTTAAATAGGTATAGAATAAGAAAAGGCTAGACAGTGTAGTCAACAGGTGATTACACAGCTAAAAGTTGACTTCCCCAACTTGTACCACTCACCACTTTCAAGAAATAAAGGTTTTGTATTGCTAGAGTGGAGGGGGCAGCACAACAATCCAACTAAACATAATTTATTACAATTTTAACTCTTCAAAAATTTTAAACTATTACTTCCAATATGGAGAAATCAATCCCCAGTTTTAATTATTTTCATATACACACTTGTTTTATAACAAGTTCTCTTATCAAACTATGCAGAGACATTACTCACCCAACATCTCTCCCTCTCTGCTATAAAGTATTCAAAAGGAGGAAAACTAGTAATGTTCTCTAAGGTCAATAGGGATATTTTAACTCTACAAACAAATACATCATTTGCACCTAAATACATTGTGGGAAGGGGGGTATTTTTGTTTTATTAAATGAAACATACTGCCCTACTTCACCCAGTGGAAGAATCAAATAATTTTAAAATGTTTTATTGCTACAACTATTCCAGATTGGTCTATATAATCTTCTTTATTTAACATTTTACCACAAATATGTTTTTAATACAGTATTAAAAAGGGGACAGATTACAGTCACCTGAGGAGAAGGCTGGATATTATTTTTTCCTTTACAGAAATCTTCATAGTTAAAATACAACAACATTGCATACCATAGTTCCTTTTATTATGTTCAAGAACAGTTTGGGAATTGAATCCAATTAGATCTCCAATCTGCTTAAATTTTTACAAAACTAGGCAATCTATTTCATTAGACATTTGCTATTAGCATTTTGAAAGAACTATCATATCACAGTAACTAAATACTACTTGCAGAAATGAAAAATAGTTATACTCAGTAGGCTGAAGTATGCAACTCAAAATGAAGGTTGCAGCCCAAACAAGCCTATCAGGAGGACAGTCCTAACTGACAATCATCTGTGATATAGTTTATAACAGATTTGAAACCTTATTTTTCACTGCACATTCTCTACCAGTTTTATTTGCTGTTGGGGAAGGAAAAAAACTAAATTTGCTTCCTTTGCTCTGAAATCAATGGGGGCAAAATATAGGTATACCTCTTATTCATTTTGTGAATACGACAGAGGGAGATTTCTCAGTATAAAATAATTAAGGAGGGGAAGTGGAGGCTTTGGAATCTCAACTCTTCCCCACTCTTATCTGTAAGACAGTTCCTTCCAATGCCCATCCAATGAAAAAAAACAACTCCAAACATAAAAGCCAACACAGATCAAAAGAGATTCTGAAAGAAAATTCACCATGAAATATTCATATTAACAACACATAATGTTGAATTATTACTTCCATCATGAAACTGTACATCAGAGTTAATCAGTTATTTCTTGTCAAGGTCCAAATTTCTTGGTCAAGGTATAGTCAAGGTCCAGAGAAAATAATACAAAACCAGCAATGAAAATAAAAAGATTTTGCAATTTGTTCAAAAGCATCTGACAGTCCAGTTTTGTCCCCTGGGCTGTCTTTTGACTACCCCTGCTCTACATGATGGGAGAATGCATCATCACATCTCCAAATTATTGGTGACTGAAACAATTCTCGCCTTAGATCCAGATTCTGTTCACCCTCAGTGAAAAGTCTTCCTGTAACAGAAGAGACAAAAGGGAGGGGTGACACCATTCCTGGCAGTGTTGTCTGCTCCTGATTTGCCTGCTTCCCATTGGAGAGGAAAATACTTAGTCTGTTTTTATCTAGCTAGATCAAAGAGGAGCATTATAATTTTTTTCCTCTGTTCCCCAGAGGTCTTGCAGGAAAGTCAGAATTATAACAGACGTGGAAGAATAATTTTTGCCTTATTTAGTTGATAAAAATTATTTCCATTAGTAAACCAAAGACCTAATTCTCCACTACCCTGCACCCTGTGCAGTCATTCACATTAGTGAAAAGTGGGTATAAAACAATACCAAAAATCAGAATTCTCTCATACTTATATTGCTAGTAGCATTTTACACCTTCTTTGCAGAGGTATAGAAGACTGACAAAGCCAAGGCTGCAGATAATCAAGCCCTTTAGCTGAAACCTGAGGTACACTGATGCATAGGTACTATACAGACATGCACCATAAACATACATCCTGATGCATTATGTATGATTCACTTCATATAAATTGACTGATTACTACATGTAGTACAAACATATATGAATACACCACAGATACAGCATATCATATCCACTGATGCCCTTTATATAAAAAAATGTTTTATATTTGAGTGTCATACAATATACTAACACTATAAACGTGAGGTATATATTTAGATACATATAAACACGATGCACTGTATATAAGCTGATATTTAATCTAGAAGCACTAAACACAGGTGAACTGATGCAAGTATACAACAGATGTGAACACATGGATGTAAATTAAAGACACAAACGCAGCATATGCACACCTCCCACAAACAGTAGTGCACAGTCTTACACAGATGTACTTTCTTATCCCCCAAAAACATACAGAGTAAGGCACGCACATGCAGATGAACCTCCCCCCAACTCTCCAGGCATACAGATGCTGGGTATCCGTGTAGATGTACTATACAGATAGTGCATCACTGTGTGTTGTATCTAAACCCCGTTGCCTTACAGAGATGCACAACTCACCATCTTAGCCCCATTTCACTTACACACAGACACACACACACACACACGTAGGCGCTCCTGACCTACAGAAGTGCCCAGCCCAACCTCTACGTGTGTGCCAGCGAACGCACGCATACATGCCCAACAGAACACACACAACACACTCGCCTTACACAAACCCCTGTAAAGACCCCAGCGCAAGTGCCCCAAGGAGCTGTCTCTGCTTCCCTCGCTCCCACTCCTCGCACATCCCGCCCCGCGGCTGAGCCGGCCGGGCGGCGCGGGGCGGCCCGCCTGTCCCTTACCCTCCTGCAGGACGTGGGTGGGCTGCACGGGCTGCACTCGGAACTGCCGGGCGCTCCAGCCCGGGCTGGGCGGCCGCACCACCTCGCTGTCCGACAGCCAGGTGACGGTCTCGTAGTTGTCCCCGCGGAGCAGCGCGCCCGCCTCGGCGCTGTGCACCGCCACCTCGTCGAACTGGTGCAGCCCGCCCGCGTGATCGAAGTGTACGTGGGTGGCCACGGCCAGCAGGGGCCTCCTGTCCCCGCCCTCCGCCTCCCCGGGCCCGCCGCCCGGCCGCAGCAGCCCGGCCGAGTGGAGGTAGTCGGGCAGGCTACGCAGCCCCAGGCCGGTGTCGATCACCACGTCGCGCTGCGAGCCCCGCACCAGCCAGATGTTGGCTCGGTTGCCGGACTCGTAGAACCGCTCCTGGATCCAGTAGATGCCGCCGCCCAGGGGCTTGTGGGCGAACCAGTCCAGCGCCGACATGCCGGGCCGCACACAGCCCCGCACACAGCCCCGCACTGAGGCCGCCGCCGCCGCCACCGCCCCCCGGGGCGGGGCCTGCGCGGCGCCGCTGCTACCCACTGCGGGCTGCGGCAGCAGAGCCGGGGGCGGGGCTGGCTGACACGTGTTCCCATCTTTTTTAAGTTCTCAGTTTTAAACCAGACTCAGTTTTGATTAAAAACGAAAAAGGGAGTCTTGAGTCCAGTTTGATTTCCACACAGAAGTAACTTTTTTCCAAGCTGGAGATCATAATTGATCTGAGTCATGCAATTGAAAAATACCTTTTTTTTAGTCTTTGACTTTTTTCCATCTTAATTTTGGCTTTATTTTTTGTGATACAGCTAGAATCTAACAAAGGGTGTAATATTTCCAGTAACTCCAAATGGCTGGGTCAGGGAAAGGAAGAGGACGTGCTGCATTTACTTTCAACATCGAGGCTATTGGCTTTGCCAAAGGTGAAACGCTACCTGAAGTAGCATTCAAGCCCCGTCCACTGTTTCCTGTAAGTACAGAAGCATAATTTTAAGAGCATGTTGCATGTCTGTGTTTCATATTCATATTCAGGTAATAAGGTGAACTGTTAAACATTTGGAAAAATCCTAAACACTATCAGTCAGTTTTGAAAGTAACTAGTCCATGTAACCATGTGCTCCCAGTGAGGATTCAGGTGTTTTACACTGTTGTCTGATGATAGTATAAACAGTCTGAGTCTTGTTTATGCTACAACCTCACTGTTGCTATCATCAATGGAGCTGCACTGTGAGAGACTTACAGATCCCATGTCTCAAATGTAGACAAGGCCACAGTGGGAAGAGACTTTTTTGTTCTTGACAGCAGATTTGTTAAATTGTATTAGACTGTCCATGAGGTAACTAGTATGATTTAAAAAAAAAATCAGAACCCATTGTTTAGATTAATCATGTTTAGCACAGATCCAACTGTATTTTGGGAAGAGGTATTGCTGAAGTTGTTCTTTGACTTAAGATAGCAGCAAGAGGTTCAGAGCAGGTTAAGTCAGCCTGAGGCACTACATTTGGAGGGCTAGTGGGGTGGATGATGATTTTCACCTTGCTGCACTGATCTAAAGTCAGTTGAATTAGAATTTTATGTTTTTTAATAGTCAAGAAAATGTTTTAGATACTTGTTTTCTTTCTTTCTTTCCTAATAGAGATTTTCATGGATGGATACATTAAAAAGAAATAAATCCTTTTTACAATTTAACTGAAAAATATGCTTTATAAAGTTCTGAACATATTGTCAAAATACAATTCAATACATTTGCAAACTAGCATAATACAGAATCACACCCCTCTATAACTAGCACATTTTTTCTGCAGCTTTTTGTGTTGCTGAATGTGTTGGATATTAACATAATAATGCACCTTAATAATTTACACAGCCAACAGATTTTAAGCCAGTGCCTCTGAAAATGGGAGAGGAAGAGGATTATATGTTGGCCTTAAAGCAAGAATTTAGAGGAAGTATGAAAAGAATGCCTTATTTTATGCGAAATGAAGATGAAAATCAAGGTTTGTTCCGCATAAATGTAATTTTTAGAACAGCAAAATGTATTTGTGTGTGAAAAATGTAATAATTAGCACTTTATATGTTCAAGCTGTAGTACTGACACTGAATAGTGAAACTTTTGCACCTAGGAGAATTACAAGTAATGCCTACATTTGCTGTAACTAAAAAGTAGTATGTGGATTTGGGAGAAGTCTGTTCTTCTCAATTTGTTTTGTTTGTGTATTTGACAACTCTGTTTAGTCAGTCAGTTTCTTCCTTGCTGAAAATGCCTTTATAATCATTACAGTGGAGCACAGAATTCTCTATATAAATATATTTTTAAAAAGCCCAGGTTCCAATAAGGACCCTTTAAACTGTAGCCAGATTATTTTAAAATATTATATACCAATTAAAAATAATCAATTGAAGGTTACTCTATCACTGCCCAAATTAGTCAGTGCTCCATTGTAAACTTCACAACATCCCTGAAAGACAGGTAGGTATGATCAGTAGTTTTACTGATGGCAAAGCTGAGAAGGACAGAGGTGAAGAGATTTACCAATGCTTGAATCAGTGGTGGAGGTGGAATTAGAAATCAGGAATTCCTGACTGCCAGCTTTCTGCGTGTTTCACCTAGACCATAGTATCTGTCCCCCTTTTTTTAAACCTTTATAAAACTGCAATTTAATTTTGAAAATATTTGTTGTCTTTCTCGGTGTTGGCTGACATATTGTATTTGACAGCCAATACATATGTTTTACCTTTTCATTAGTTTGTTGATAAGCGTTGTTTAAATCAAAGCTTCCAAGTCTTTGAAAATTGCATTGGGGAAAACAAAGGACCCAAGTACCTCCCAGCTTCACTGCAGGAGTATCAAAAATCTAGCAATCACAGAAGGCTGTCATTATTCAGAGTGGATTTTTTCCCTATTCAACCTTTTTTGTCAATTCCACCATCTTCCTGTGAGCCTAGCCTGACTGCCAGGTATGGTAAATGATGTTGGTTGGGGACTGTAAGGAACACAGAAATTACCATACTCAATCAGACCATTTAGGTCCATTTAGTTTAGTATCCTGTGTCTGATGGTGGCCAGCACCAGATATTACAGACAAAGCTATAAGAATCCTGCAGTAGCAGATGATCTAATCTCTGTTTCTCCTTCCAGAAGTTAGACCCATCAGCACACCTGACCCTGATTATCAAATACACAGTCATTAAGTAGTCAACTGGTGAAAGAAGTATTTCACTCCTTTTTTGTTTTCTTGGATTAAAATGACCAAATGCTCTTATGAAATGCTTTAAAATGGCAAAGGTGGCAAAAGAAAGATGTGGGAGAGAATATTGCATCTTGGCAATATCACTCGTGGATAATATTTTGTAGTATGATTTTTATTTTTTATAATGTTAACATACATTTTAGGCTGTGGAATACATGATTTGATCTGTTGGATTCAGGAGCTTAATTTTAATTCTTGTTTATTTGGGATATGGTGGGAAATTATGTGTGGGTACTGGGGTAACATCCATCAACTGAACTGAGAAGATATTATTTAAACACAAGTGTATTCTGTTGCCTGCTACTTATCGTTACTATCAGTCATGCTGAAAAATATTGTCCATCCTGCTTTCTCCTGAATGAAAATGAATGATAACTTTTGAAACATTTTAATTAGCTTGAAGATAGGTGCCTTTACAAACTATGAAGGCCTGGTCTACAGCTAAAACTTAGTTCAACCTAACTAGGTTGCTCAGGGATATGAAAAACAGTAGTTAAGCCAACCCAAACCCCATTGACCTACCTACTGCCTCTTGCGGGGGTGGATTACTACAATAATGGAAAATCCCCTTTCATCACTGTAGTAAGTGTCTATGCTACAGTGGCATAAGAGAAGCTGTGCTGCTGGGTTTGGATTTGCCGGGTACCTATGGTTGATTAAGATCAGTTACTGTTGCACACAGATTTTACTACATATGTTAGCCAGGGTGGATAAAAATCAATGATTTAAAAAAATAAAATTGGACTTTTTGGATAAAATGCTTTTTGAGGAAAAAACCTATACAAAGATACATTATAGCTCAAAGATATCTTATCATGGAATAGGGATTATAAATTCTAATTCTGTAGTATGAGACAATATATTCATGTAATGTTTAAGCAAAGTTTTGTAAATGAGCTCCAATAGTTTATGGATTAGGGACCCAATCTTATGGGTTCCACAGGCTTCTGTGTAGATTATTTAGGTTAATCTTTCTATCTACCCAATGGGACTCAGTGCTCAGTCTAGAAGATACCATCAGATATGCTTAGTTTTGCAGTTCTCAAACTGTGGATTTGTGTCTCCAGAGGTAACATGCTTGTTAACGGCAAAAATGTTTTTAAATAAATAAATAATATATAGAGGTGAGAAATAACAGACCTCAACTCTGTTGTCCCTCTGCAAATTTGTGTACACAGAGTCAATCCCTTACCTCTCTCTAAAAGTGCAAAGTTTCAAAAAGTTCAATGAACAGAAGATTGTTGGGGGCGGAATAGATCTGGACAAGGAGAAGAAGTCTGGAGATAAATGTGAGAAGCAAGGAACATATGCTTGTTTTGTTAAAATATTATATGTTTGCAGTTGAAGAAAAAAATCCAGAATACTTAACATTGTTGTTTTAGTTAAATAAAACAATTTAAATGTCTGTCTGGTGATGTTCTCCTCCTAATACAGCATGGCAAGAAAATCCTCCAAATATTAATGATTAACCTGTTAAATTGGAGATAGTTCACCTCCCAATGACTTCATATATCTGCTTCAGTTACCTTTAGTAAATGAAAAAAACAAACAATCATTCATTTTCTGATATAGCTGTAAAAGTAATCTGAAAAGTTTTCAAAATAAATCACTGTTTAAAAATGTATAGTGTGTACCTTCTAAAAATGAAACCTACATCTATCTCTGAGTTGTAAAAAATATGTATTAAGGTTATAACAACCAACAAGAATGCACTTTTATGTAGAAAACCATGATTAAATCAAGTCTTCCTGACTAGTGTTTTAAATCAAATCTACCCTGATGTTAGCAGTTGCAATAACATTCCTCCATAATGGGCTTCATCCTGAAATCAAAGCCACTGGTTTTTCCTCTCCTGACATTGACAGTTCATACAAAAAACACCCAACACCAGTTACTTTAGGTGCCCCTTGAGGCACCATCGTTTTAAACATAAGCTTTTGTTCCACTATATTCTTGGCTCTTGTGCTTACATTTGCCCTGGTAACAGACTGGAAGCCCAAGTGATGGGGAGTCATATATGTAATTGATTTAGAGTTGAATGTACTGTTACCTTTCCACCTCCCATCATCCTAATTTGTCTCATTATTTTACTTTGTGTCTTGTGTAAATCTTAGACTCTGAGCTCTCTGGGGTGGTTTGTTAGTACAGTGCCTAGTATACAGGGGCCCTCTTCCTTTTTGGGAATCATTAGGCATTACTGCAGTAGAAATTAATAATTTTGTAATTTTATTTATTTTTTTTTGTTTTGAGGCATTATGGTTTATAGTAATAAAGAAGGACTAACACTCAAGAATGCCTAAGTTCCAGTCCCAGTGTTTTTCTTTACTGAGGGATGGCTTATCTACATGGGAAGGTTTTTCATTATAATCTAAGGTGTGGATTTAAAATGATATAACTCTTCATGTAGACACTCTTTTTTTTTTTCAATATGAGTGCATTTTTTCAGTTAAGTTTATGTTGCTTGGGAAAGGGATTAAGCCATACTGAAAAAAGCCACATACCAGATAAGACTTTGTCTACACTAGACAGGGGTCATAGTATAAATATACCAGCAAACCTTCTTAATGGAGGCATAATGTAGATATAGCTTATACTGGTTCCCTAAATAAAATAAGCTATACTGGCAAAAGGACTTTTTTTGCTCGTATAACTGTGTCGACAGTAGAGCTTTTGCCAACCTGTATACTAGATCATTATAAATGGTAAAACTTTCCCATGTAGGCAAGGTCTAACTGACTAAATCCTCATCTACGCTGGGGCCTGGTCTATACAAGGAAAGTAGGTAAGTATTCAGTGAAAAATCCCCACACTTGAGTGATGCTGTTAAACTGACCTAACCCCCAGTGTAGACTGCGCTAGGTTGACGGGAGAATTCTCTTGTCGACTTAGCTACTGTCTCTCGGGAAGGTGGATTACCTACGCCAATGGGAGAACCTTCCCATCGGTGTAGGTAGTGTCTTCACGGATGTGCTACCAGGGTGCAGTTGTGCTGCTGTAGCGGTTTAAGTGTAGACAAGTCTTTATGCATGTTAGTAGTCCCATTGATTTCAAGGGAACTGCTCACAGTAGTACAGTTAAACATGTTCATCATCAGCACAATGGAAAGTGCATCTGTATAAAAGGAAGGTGTGTGTGTGTGTATGTATATTTGGGTCAAGGGAAGCATATAATACAGTGTTTGGATTGCCTTGGTTAATAGCATGTAAATGAAATAGAATGCAATAACTGCAGGTTTTTCTTGTTCTCTAGGAATTGAAAAATATAGTAAAAAGTACCTGCAGATGAAAAAAGAATCCATGGAATGGACCCCAGGTAATAATGTAAATTACAACAGTGAAATTCTGCATGGATCTTGAGTAATCTGCCAGTTTTCTTAAATGCCCAGTGTGACCAGAGTCCAAGGGAAGTCTACTGAGGTCATTCAATTAGGGTGAACTGCAAAGAATGGGGCAGGCAATCCCCAAAGGTGATGGATATTCCACTACTTAGATTTAACAAGCCAGCACAAAACAGCTTCTATAATACCTCACTGATTACCCAGAAGCCAACAACACAGTTCCCTTGAAGTAATCCAGCCTTAGGCCTCCACCCAGACAAGCAAGTCAAATATGACAAGGATTACTGAAAATCTTATTCATCATATAAAAAAGTTCTACCAATCCCAAAGGATCGGACACATTACCTCCCAGGTTAATGAATATTCCAGATCTTACCCAAATACGTGCTTACAGCCAATTCTTATTAACTAACCTACAATTTATTTAAAAAGAAAAGAGAGAGGATTGGTTAAGAGATCAGTATACATAAAGACATGAGTCAATCTTAAGATTCAGATTCATAGCAGAGATGGTGAGCTTTGTAGATGCAAAGAGTTCTTTCAGAAATAGTTCATAGGTTATAGTCTAATGTTTATATTCAGGGTGGTCCAGTCAGGACTGGGATCTCAGTTCTTATGGCTCAGGCTTCCCCTGCATGAAGCCTCAGGCAGATCTGAGATGAAAAGGATTGGGACCCAAACATCTTTATACAGTTTCAGGCCTTCTTGTGACAGCTTGTAGTTCTTTGGCAAACAATAGACACTCATGTGGACTTTGAAGTGGACCCATTTCCTAAGCATTACCGGTAATTATTCACACAGATTAACGTAAGGCAATTGCCTGTTTTTCCACCATTCACAGATGATTTGCTATACGTTTCAAAGAGAGATGAATACAGTGATATCCTATGTTTACAGTTCATTTAAATGTTAAGATGTTCTTTTGATCTCTGAATTAACAGAATACAGCATAGACAGGGACTCTGATTATATTGTTGATCTCTACCAATATATATGTAAAAACACAAACATTATCCACCTATATGTTTTTAAAGGTTGAATTTGAGTCATTTATCTTGTAGGATTCTTAACGCTTTCTGGTCATGCCCCAACGCGAGATTGATGTTGAAGAGAGCTAATTAGAGCTCCTGCATAAACCTCAAGGATCTCCCAACCTTGACAAGGCATCAGCCACAAGATTCTGTTTCCTTTGATATGAATTATGTCCATATCAAACTCCTGCAACGGAGTAACCTAGAATTGGTTTCTTTTGCTTTGTGTAACCACACCAAGGGAGCATGATCACTGAACATGGTAAACATCTTGTTATACAAATAGGGTTTGAGTTGCTTTACTGCTCACACAGTTGCACAGCATAGCATAGTGTTGTTCAGTGGGTGTCAATTTTTCTCTTAGATATGCAATGGGATGCCTTTTACCCACTTCCCCATCCTGAATCAGCACAGCTCCCAGCCCCCTCTGTAAGCACAATTCTTCAAGGGTTTTTCTGTCAAGATCTTCATATGATCATGGCTCACTCTTTGTAACTGATTTTTAATCCTTAAACTCTCCAATATCAAAATTAATTTTTGACAAGCATGTGGTTCTGATCCAGAAACCCAATTAACCTGTGGCAATGTGTATCCAAGACAGACTACGCCACAGTGACCAGAGTCCCAGGAGAGCCAACTGAGGTCACTCAATTAGGGTGAACTGCAAAGAATGGTCATGCGTCACACCCAGTTTCTCCATTTTAAAACAATGCCAGTCAAATGGCATTTGCAACCTTTCTAAATCGTGTATTCCTTGTGGAGGTGCAGACACATGTTTTACCACTGCAAACTTGACAAACCTGTATTTGAGCTGCCTGAAAAAATAAATCTGATTTTTTCCACCTTTGCTTGCAACTTAGTTTCTCAGACTTGCATCACATTTTCCCCAAAAAATTCAAGCTTGAGCTGAGGATTAACATGAGAAATTTAATCAATGAAAATTTGTGGTGTCAGTGATCTGAAGATTTGGGGTTTGGAATGGAAAGGCAACCTCAGCTTTATCTATATAGCTTCACTACTGCTAATTATTACATGTAAATTAAAGGTTATTAGGTTCACTTATGTCTGAACTTCAGTTGCTTCTTTGGGGAAGAAACTCTTTTTTGTTCTATGGGCCTGATTCTGTAAATCTTTATACTAGGGCTAAACTTCAAGTACACTTCAGGTACTGTGTTTACTTTAGTGGGACTAGTTGGATACCAAAAATTTGAGCCTGTTTCAGTATCAGGGTCTGTATTTGTACTGCACCAAGAACAATAGGACCCCAACCCTCCTTGGGTCCTTTGGGCACTAATGTAATACAAATAAATAATAGTTCCTATATATTAAAATTATTTCTTTTGCAGATTGGAGAAGGCTCCCAAGAGAGATGAAGCCAAGGAAAAAGACCAAAAAAGGTAGCTGTTGTAGTTTTAAGGAGCATTCAGTGCCTAGCAATTATATGTGAGAGAGACAATTGTTAGAGCTGGTTGAAAATAAAACAGTGGTAATAATTTTTGAAACATTTTGACTAAGATTTTTTTTTAAACATTATTTGACTGGTCTGTTTATTGTTTTATAGGATGTTTTCAGAACTACCAAAAACTAAATTTTGATGTTTTAAAGAAAATAATAGTGAACTTATTGGAGCTTATTGTTGCATCGGATGAAGTGAGCTGTAGCTCACGAAAGCTTATGCTCAAATAAATTGGTTAGTCTCTAGGGTGCCACAAGTACTCCTTTTCTTTTCGCGAATACAGACTAACACGGCTGTTACTCTGAAACCTGTTATTGGAGCTGGTGTATCTGCATTTCTTGCTTTGCATACCAATATGTCTTTGAATGCTGATGGGGTAGCACTGAGTTATTTAAAAAAATACTTGTATTCTTTTGCTGTTGCTTTCAGAAGTTTGCAAACATCTTTCACCGCTGTTTTCCCATACTCCATGATTTGTGTTCCTGCTTGTGATTTGGTTGGCTCTTCTGTTTGTTTTAGTTTTTGTGTGTGAATAAATGTAACTTCTGCTTTTCCCTATTTTTCCTTTTTCTGTTTATTTTCAGCTCTCTTTGACAGAATTGTGAACCAGATCCTTCAACAGCAGTTAGAGCTGGTATTGGTTGCTCTGAAAGAGAAAGCAGTTTAATTTTCACTACAAAATGTCATAAAATGTATTTATTTTTCAGTGTTCCCCAGCATGCATGACCATTATTCCGATTTTCTCTGGAGAACTATTGTTTTGTTGATGTGAAGCAACCCTTTGACTGATACCTAGATGTCTGTTATGTATAATTATTTACTTTCATTACCCCTTGTCCAAGTCTGTAGTGAGTCATCTTTCAGTTCAAGGATAAAATAGAACACAGAAAAGTGAATGTGTAGTAGTCATGGAGACTGGCTCATCTGGAAGCTTTGTTCCTTTTAAGAGCCTCACTGAGAAGCATGGTACTAAAAGTAGAGTGCAAGCATTCTCCTGGAAATTAAATTCTTATTGTCAAGATTGCCAAAGAAGAATAACCAGTATATAGCTGTTGTTCAAAAGTGTAATTAGTGCTGTATTTACACAGACTTTGAGCCAGTAATTGGCTCTCCCAGATCCTAAGAAAATCAGCTGCTGATTTGTCCCTTTGCTCGAGTGACATTAAATGATGACCATAAACATAGGCTCAAAGTCACTGCCTTTAAGATACATTTTTATTAATTTGATCTCACACCAAAAGTGACCATTTTTCTCTTTAATATCAACAACAAAAATCAACTGAACAGTTTAACTTCTGTGAACATAAGAAAGATACAGATTCCTTTACAAAATATATGTATATAAGCCTTTCAGAAAACATAGTCTGCAGAGGTTTGTAGAAAGGTGGCTATTACATCATTTTGGCGTACTCTGAGAACAATAATCTAGATCAGTGGTTCTCAGACTTCAGCAGGACCCCCATTTTGATTTTAAAAGTTTTGTGGACCCACAAGCCAGCTTCTAACTTTCCATAGGGGTGCTCAGCCTCTGCTCTGCCCCAGGCCCTTCCCCCACTCCACTGCTTTCCCAAGGCCCCACCTCTTCCTGCCATTCCTCTACCCCGCCTCTTTCCTTCCCTGATGACAGGTTTCAGAGGAACAGCCGTGTTAGTCTGTATGAAGTGAGCTGTAGCTCACGAAAGCTCATGCTCAAATAAATTGGTTAGTCTCTAAGGTGCCACAAGTACTCCTTTTCTTTTTCCTTCCCTGAGCGCACCCTGTCCCTGCTCCGCCTCCCAGCCCCTCCTGTACGCCACTGAACGGCTGTTCTGTGATGTGCAAGAGGCACTAGGAGGGAAGGGGAGGAGTTGATCAGCGAGGGTGGAGGCCCCCCCGGACATGACTCACGGATCTGCTGGAGTAAGGACGCCTGTTTGAGCCTCACTGATCTAGATAACACATTATAATCAAGTCAAATGTGTGTGTTTTTAGAAGAGGGTGAGTTTTGGGTTTTCCCCTCTTAGCGCAAGTCAGTTTTTCTATCTTGTAATCCAACCCAACTTGCTTTGCCCATTCTAACTATATATGTTGCTGAGAGTGACTTTTACTTCTGGATAATGACATTGCCATGGTTAAAGGGCTAGTTGCACCTCTGTCTGTTTTCTGGTCTCTGAGTGCACCCCGTCATGTTTTAGGATTCATGTCTTTACCTCCCAGGGGTGGAATTCTGCAGTTCTGCCTCTCTGAGACCATGCCCTTCGCTACATCATGATGTATTTCAACCATGCTTACCCAGCAGGTGCAACTGTGTTTGGCATCTTTGGTTCTGCCCTTCAAGAAACTGACCAGGTGTATGTAGTGACCAGTCGCCTTAGAACCAACATATTATTTATTTTAACAGAAAGAACAAAGCGTTTAGAGAAAAAGGATTGTAAGATAATAGTTTTACATGCCTAAAACCCTGCTGTCCTGTGATGGTGACCTAGGAAGGCCTAACTGCTTCAGACCACCCGTCCGCCCCCCGTCCTCCTCCCCCCCCCAGCAAGTGTCTGTATATCGACCTGGTTCTCCTGAACAACTCTTCTCCCCCACCCACCTCCAAAAAAACAAAAAAAACCCCCAACCCTCTCCTGAGAGTTTCTTTTTAAACTGCTATATATCTTCCGCTTCCCAGGCCTTTTCCTTAGTGGCATTGTTTTTTAACAACCCTCAAATGTTTTTGGAGAAGTGGCTTATCTTAAGCCATTCTGTTTCCTTCCTGTTTGCTTTCCTTATAGCTCTCTATAAAACTAAACCAGTATATTCAGAAACAAGCATCCTCACAATCAGGTCAACATACAGTTAATAAATTATTACATAGTAGCTCCACTTGCATCAAAGATGTACTGTGTTGGATTGTTAGACGTATGCTAAAAATATTTCCTCGTTGCCACAGCATCCCTATCTAGATAAAATATTCAAGTGAACATCAGCACTGTCAATGACAAATGCTTCCTGCATAGTAGAATCTATATCTTTCTGTCAGTCTTTAGTCTTTTCTCAAAAGCTAGTCCAGATAAAACACAATCAGGTTGTGTTCTAGTGTACCTGCACACAACTTCCAACACTTTCTATAAGTTCCTATCCTCATTGTTCAATAAGTGAAGAGTAAGTCTTGTAATTCTAGGGAGGTTATGTTGCATTCTTCTTACAAGACAAAGAAGTTGAATCCCAACTACAAGTGCAAATCTCAGCTCCTTTTCTACTATGGCATTATGACTGCCATCTCTATAATTTTGCAGTTTATAGGTTATCACATAAAGAGGAATTAATGCTATATCCCCATTTGAGAAATCCTTGTCTAGTGGGTAAAGTAGAGGACTTGGGATCTAAAGATCTGAGTTCTATTCTTGGCTTTTCCATTGACAACTTATTACTTTTTGATAGTCAGATGGGACTTGACATTTTTGAAAATTAGGGCCTAAAGTGCTCGGTGTCTACTTTGTCATTCCAAAAGTGGAGCTGCCTCTTGGGAGTCATTATTTTACAGTTATACTGTAGGCAAGACCCTTAAATAGCTTGGTTTTAAACAAAGTGCACGTACCTACGTAAAATTAAAAGCTCACTCCTTTGTGGGGTTTGGTTTTATTAACAAAGAATGAAATAAAGTAAAGGTCATCTCAAGCCTTTTCTACAGGATTGCTTTTCTACAGGATTCTACAGGATGTCAAGATTGCTTAGCCAACACCCTAGGTTATTTCTCCCTGAAGAGATAGATCTACTTCACTTACATCCATGTAATAAGCAACCTGGAGTCAGCAGAAGCAACTTAGCCCTTTCTCAGCTGGATCAACAGCTGTTAAGATGGCAGGATGTTTGAAAGTGAGGACTGACAGCCTACTACAAACACCTACTATGATCTTGAGGCTACATATGCTGAACAAGAATTAAAATGATATTCAGGGGGTTTCTAATATATTTAAGATGATGGAAAATGACAATAATACGTATTTTCTTCTGTACGTTCTTAACCAGCTTTGAATATATGTTTGAAAATTATTTGACTGAAGCTTAATATCACAATTTGGACAAATGCCTATTCAAAGTTGAGTTTCAGATCTGCCTGAATTAGGGAAAAGTGCAGCATTTACATAAATTGGGCTATTGCAGTTCAGTGCAGGGTAAAGGATTTGCAACTGTAAAGCAAGGATATAGCACAGACATTACATTAATTTGCCATGACAGATGTTAACAGTGCTGTAATCTCTAACAGTGAGTAATGTGTATTTTCCATGTAGGAATTAAGAAGGTAAATTAAGTAACTTATTATTTTACTTCAGCAGGTGAAAAAACGAAAAAGGCAAAAGTTGCCACACCCACAAGTCATGTGGATGTGTTGAAAAAAATTGAGGTAAGACCTACTTGATGCAAAAGATGCAGTTTCTCTGTATAGCCTCCGTTGTGCAATACATGCTTACTCCCGGGGGAATTCTGCACCAAAAAATAAAAAATGCTGTGCACAGTATTTTAAAATTCTGCATGTTTTATTTGTCAAAATAATGCAATATAAACACTCTGGTTTCAATTATTTAGGCAATTTATTTAAACTACAATACCCTGGATGGAGATTTGGCGTGGGGAGCATTGAAGAAAATCCCCAACCCCCCTTGCCTAATAGTAATGTAGCTAGGTTTGATCCTTTATTTCTAGTTATTAGTCAACAAATATATGCAGTCATATGCTCAGTGTTACATCATAGGCAATAAAGAGCAAGTGAAGCTGGGGAATCAAACTCCAGAAAGGTCAGTAATAAACAGTTCATGGAGCACATTTTAATAGGAAATTTTTTCAGTCCATTTAGACCAGTTCTAATCACTAAAGCACCATAAGCATTTATAAGCCATATTGTCCTTTACACCAGTCTGGCAATGTAAAGGAGCCTTACAACTTTTACACTTCTTTTATACTCCTGGGGGAATTCACAGGACAATGGCAACAATTCACTAAGCAGGCAGGCTGCTACATTCTGCTCTGCCTGAGTAGAGAGAGTCTGCCCCATGCTTACCTCCTCAGAAACACCCCAAAGCCCTGCCCCTCCACACTGAGCATGGCGCAATAGCAAGCAAGAAGGACAGTGTGCCACTCTCACACTCATGACTGGCCAGATCCCGCCCTGCTCCCAGAGGTGATTTACGTCTCTAGTGGCTGCTCCAGGTGCCTGAACTGACCTGCCTGCACTGCTCTGGAGAGGTGTGGCTTCCCTTTGCTTCCCCATCGGAAGTCATTTTTCTGCAGGGAAGCAAAGAAATCTGCGAGGGACATGAATTGTGTGCATGTGCAGTGACACAGAATTCCCCCAGGAATAAAGCTACAGAAAGAGAATTCAATAGCTGTTACATCTCAATCATCCTACATTGGGTGGGACTTCTCACATTTTAGCCATTTCTCTGGTCAGGTCTGGTCTTGTTTTGCCGTGCCTTGGTGACACATGACTGTATGGTGTCTGAAGACATGGGAAGGAGAGATCTATCAGTGATCCCAAAGGGAAGGAGAGATCTATCAGTGCCCTCTCAACCTACCAGGGTTGCAAATAAACCCATGTAGTGAGTTGAGAAGAGAGGGCGTGAGAAGGGGACATTTGGAGGCAATGGCTAGGCAAATTGGGAGGAAATTTTGATCATAATTGTAGACGTATGTGTTGCACACAATGGTATTAAGAGGTTGAGAGGCAGAGTTGCCCTGTGTGTCTTTGTCTGATTTAGTACGTACGCATATTGGAGCAGATGTTATGTGGTGTTCTTTGTCTTATAAAGCACCATGTGTGCCTGCACAAATAACTACCACTTTATCCTAAGATAACGGGGAAGGGAATTCAGCACTGTAGTACTACACCAAATGTGCTAAAAACATAATGGCTAGTATTCGATCTAATAAGTCCTAGGAAAATCCTGGCATTTTGGTAAGCAACATAATTGCCTGTTATTTTTACACCATTGTTTGGTTAGTTGCATTATTATTATTATTAGTTGCAATACAACAAAACTAAACTCTGCATTTTGATAGCGTGGAGGATATGTTGTTGATAGACTCCTTAACATGTTCTAACTTGTGACAGGAGTTGGAAAAGAAAGGTGACGAAGAAAAATCTGATGAGGAAAAGGAGAAAGAAAAAGACAAAGAGGATGAAGAGGAAGAAGAAGCAGCAGCAAATGAACAAGAAGAATATGATGAAGAGGAACATGAAGAGGTACTGGTTCCTTTTCTAGCTCTAACAAAACAGACCCTATTTGTTAGAGGTAAATATGGTGACAGGAATGATGACTGAAACCACGTGTACCAACAAAGTTGTTAGCTGTTCTGCATTAGAGGAAAAGTTGGTATGAGAAAGGCACTATTACGTGGACTAGCTGCACATTATGCTGCTTAGTGCGGTGATTGATTTTAAGAGGTTCTGTTAGATATGTTAGTATCACCAAAATCTTGCAAAATCTTGTTTCAGCAGTTAGAAGTGAGTCCTGGCACTAAGAGTGGATGTCATTATTTATTTGTATCACTGATAAAGTGCAGCAAGTTTATAGTGATACTTTTACAAAGATCTAAGACAGTTTTTCATAACATGCTTTCAAACTATTTGTCTTAGTTCCCCAATGTTATGGTGGCTGTTGGCATCTGAAAACAACAGAAGATTTAAAAAAAAATAAAAAAAAAAAAAAGATCCAGATTACATTTCAGGCTGCATTGGAGTGTGATCCAAATGGCTCATGACCTTAGGTAACTGTAGCTCCTCCAGCAAAGAAAGCGTTCAAGGCACCATGAGTGTGTCCATGTATAGACAATCAAACTTTAAACATCCCAAAATGTAGGTCTTTTCCTCTCTCATCAAACTAGGAAAGGACGATGTATCCCTGTATATTCTTCTTTCAAAATCATACTGTATTCTCCTGATTAGGATTATGAGGCAATGTGCCTCGTTTAATAACGGTGCATTTAATTGTTTCATCTACATCAGTAACTTAAAGTATTTTGATCTATAATGTATTTTCATTTAGGAAAACGACTATATTGCTTCATATTTTGAAGATGGCGATGACTTTGGTGCTGGCAGTGATGACAATATGGATGAAGCAACCTATTAGTTATTTATATTAGATTGTGTCCTATCCTGGCCTTCTAAGACATCCACTAAACCATTTGGACCCAGTTGTAGGTGGGCTGAGCAACCGCAACTCTTGATGCAGCTACTTGAAGTTGGAGCGCTGAGTTCACCCTCAGATGAAAGGGCATTTTTTTCTGGTTTATTTAACTGAGTTGAAAAATGGGAGACCTAGCTGCCATATTACTGTTCTTCCCAAATGCTTTGAAGACAGATATTTATCACTGCAAGGTTCTCTAGAACTCTGTATCTGGGAGTTCTAGAGAACCTTGCAGTGATAAATATCTGTCTTCAAAGCATTTGGGAAGAACATATATGCCTTTGTATTGCTTCTGCTGCACAGGAAAAGAATATACATTTTGACTGAATTGTGCCTAAGCATTTGCACTTCTCTATGCATGGGAGGGATCAAATCCTGTTCCGGATGTGAAGTCATATTTCAGAGGATACTGAAGTCAGTAGCAAAACTTGTATTGACTTAAGCGAACCAGGATTTGGTCCTTTCTGAACACAAGCTGTTCTTACTTAGCTGCTGACATTTTAAAGGAATTTATATAATTTCTGTAATCAGGGGATTGAAATCTAACTGAACACTGAGCACTTTCTTGAACAAAGTAGCCTAAAAGTACTTTGGTACTGTGGACTAAAAAGTAAGGAGATAATTTTGAAGGCTCTTGCATTCTAATCAACAGACTTTCATAATTCAGCACTTTGACGAATAGGGAGCATCTTTCAAACCAGTGCTTGTTGGGTGTAAGGAGACTTAATAAATGAGATTAGATTGTGTTTTATGAATTCCTGTTTACTGGAAGTGAGGTCTGGGGCTAATTAGTAGTTTCATTTAGAGAGGGTTTGTGGCTGAGGTTTGAGCAAGGGAGTGGGAAACCAGGAAATCCTGATTTCTCGGTTTGGCTCTTCTCTGTGGCCTTGGACAAGTCCCTCAACATCTCTGCATCAGTTTCTCCAGCTGTTAAATGGGGAAAATACTACTTCCTACCTCATAGTACTGTTGTGAGAGTTGATGTTTATAAAAAAATACTAGCTATATAAATGTGAAATATTGTTTTTATTAAATTTACTTCCCAGCACAGCCAAAAAATCAGACTGTAAAATAAAGGTACATATACTAAAAGAGTAATATGCTATGGTAAACTGTGAGGGTGGTGAAAACAATAACGTAAATGCTATAAATATTCTATATTTGTGGCTGAATATGTTGTGACTCTAATCTTTCTATTACAGTAATCCTAGGAGTTATTTATAACAATAGTTGGTAGGTACAACATTCAAATGTATCTCTAATATTTTTGTGTTTCTAAGCAATTTAAAATAGGTCTTATTTTTTTAAAAACTGTTTGTTTTGCTTAAATTCACTCAAAATGAATAGAAAGCACTGGATCCTAAAATCTCAGCATCATCTGAAATGTCACTGTTTCAATTATGGCCTTTGATGTCTTTTTGAAGTAGCCACAGGAGCTGTCTTCATAAAAGGAGAAGCATGTGGTTTTATAGAATAGGCTTTAAATTTCCTTTCTGCCAATCTTCAAGGAAACTTAAAGCTTATTCTTCTTATTGTTTTTTGTTTCCTTTATGCTGCTGTTTTTCTCTGAAGTATTCCCAGCTGGACCCATAACTACTCTCAAAGACGGAGATGCTGAGGATAAATTTAAAGCAAAATCAATAGAAACCATTTTAGCTGACTTGAGGATTGTGGGGGGCTTCAGATTTTTAAATTTAATTTAAAATTTAATAAAAATGAATGAAAAATTGAAAATAAACTTTTTCCTCTAGAATTATTAAGCTCAGAAATGTCACTAAAAGGCTCTAACCTATGCTTTTGTTGTTCCTCTGCACAAATTGGAACCTGTGTTAGTTGATCAGATTGGTCCTCTTTCTTTTCGCTCTTTAGCTGTTGAGAACTAAAAAATGTGTTCTCATCTAGTGAGAAACTGGTTATTTGTTTTTTTTTTAAATCTTATAAGCTTTTAAAGTTTGTTTCTCGATGGTTGGGGAACACGTTTGCCAAACAATACTTTACCTCAGTGCTAACTCTGAAACAATAGAGAGATAAAATCAACAAAAAACTATTTACATATACTAATGATTGTATAACTTGGGGCCTGGCTGTATTTTTTTCCCTGTGTTAATTAAAATGCTCTGATAAACAAAATGTGAAGCAATTCCAAAGGGTGAGAAAACTAAATGCAATACAGGGCACACTTTAAATGTATATTTTAACTTGATTATTTTTAAATGTTAAATTGCTATGTAGGAAGATACAGCAAAACAATGTAAAACAACTTATTTCTGTATTATTAAATACTGTGCTATATTGCAACAGAAATTTACTCTGGTCACTAATTAGGACTTTGTGTGGAAGTTAATTTTTTTATAACTAATAATGAAGAGTTTAGGACTAAAGTTTGTGGGTTTTAAATTTTTTTATAGTATGGTGTGCACCCAAACTGCATTTATGCAAATAGGCTGCCTCTACATGGCCATGGCATGTCCAGTTATTTCTCTGCCCATCCTTGCATGTGGGCTCCTGCTCCAACTCAGGAAGAGAGAAGCTGAGCAGATGACATAATAAAGTCACCATTTTTTGAACACTCCAGAGGTTCTGCTTGCATCAGGCAGAGCAACGGGTAGCTGCAGCTGATCCTAATAAACTAGAGAAATACAACGTACATGGAGCTACTATAAGGTGGTGCATAACTAGTTGGAAAACTTCCTAGAGTATAATCATCAGTGGTTCACAGTCAAGCTGGAAGGGCATATTGAGTGGGGTCCCACAGGGATCATTTCTGGGATTGGTTCTGTTCAATATCTTCATCAGTGATTTAGGTAACGGCATAGAGAGTACACTTAAAGTTTGCGAATGATACCAAGCTGGGAGGGGTTGCAAGTGCAAGAATAGGATTAAAATTCAAAATGATCTTGAGAAATGGTCTGAAGTAAAGAGGATGAAATTCAATAAAGACAAATGCAAAATGCTCCTATTACCAAGGAACAATCAGTTACACACATACAAAATGGGAAATGACTGCCTGGGAAGGAGTTCTACACAAAGGGATCTCAGGGTCATAGTGGATCACAACCTGAATGAGAGTGAACAGTGTAACACTTGTAAAAAACGCAAACATCATTCTGGAACGTATTAACAGGAGTGTTGTAAGCAAGACACAAGAAGTAATTCTTCTGCTCTACTCTGCTGATTAGGCCTCAACTGGAGTAGTGTGTCCAGTTCTGGGTGCCACATTTCAGAAAAGTTGTGGACAACCTGGATAAAGTCCAGAGAAGAGGAACAAAAATGACCTATGAGGGAAGACTGAAAAAATTGGGTTTGTTTAGTCTGGAGAAGAGAAGACTGAGAGGGGACATAACAGTTTTCAAATATATAAAAGGTTGTTACAAAGAGGAAGGAGAAAAATTGTTCTCCTTAACCTTTGAGGATAGGACAAGAAGCAATGGTCTTAAATTGCAGCAAAGGTGGTTAAGGTTGGACATTAGGAAAAATTCCCTGTCAGGGTGGGTAAGTACTGGAACAAATTGCCCAGGGAGGTTGTGGAATCTCCACCATTGGAGTTTTTTTTAAGAGCAGGTGAGACAAACACCTGTCAGGGATGGTCTAGATCAGCAACCTTTGGCACACAACCTGCCAGGGAAATGTGCTGGCAGGCCAGGACGGTTTGTTTACCTGCAGAGTCTGCAGGTTTGGCTGATCACAGCTCCCACTGGTCGCGGTTTGCCGTTCCAGGCCAGTGGGGGCTGCGGGAATTAGCATGGGCCGAGGGATGTGCTCGTTTCTGCTTCCTGCAGCCCCCATTGGCCTGGAACGGCGAACCACGACCAGTGGGAGCTGCAATCGGCCGAACCTGCAGACGCTGCAGGTAAACAAACTGTCCTGGTCCGCCAGCGGATTTCCCTGATGCACCATATGCCAAAGGTTGCCAATCTCTGGTCTAGATAATACTCAGTCCTGCCATGAGTGCAGGGGTCTGGACTAGATGACCTCTTAAGATACCTTCCAGTTCTATGATTATATAAAGTAGACTTATAGAACCATTGTGCCAACAACTGCTTCCTTAGGTGAAATGTGAAAAAGGAAGGCAGGATTTTATCAAATGCAGTCAAAGATCACAGAATAAGGAAATAGTGAGATACAATGCAATCAGAAGAAAGAGTATACAAATATAAAGGGAGAGACAAACCACCTTATTTTATTGTCCAACGTGAGGCAGTAAGTTTTAACGTGTTCAGAAATGACTTTCCACCAAAAAAATTATGGTTAGTCAAGACAAAGAGCAGGGCATGGTTTCAAGAGGCAGCAGCTGAATTTCTTCAGCTGTCTTTTTTGATGTTTGGGACATCAATTCATATTTATCCAGATAGGTTCCCCCATCTCCATGGACAATTAAGACCAGAAGGGACCATTATGATTTAGTCTGATCTCCTCCATAGGCTATAGAACCTAATCCACTAATTACTAGATCAAGCCCGTAGACTTTAGCTGAACCCAGCTCAGGGTAAGTTGTCTTGTGCTTGGAGTTTACTGTACCAGGAGCAGAATAGGAGAAGAGTATTTGAGGGCCTGAATGTACAGGAATGGGGTCATCAGTAGAGGTCGCTGAGGTACTCTTCAACACCATTGTCTCTCTCACATCACCATGAAGACTGAAGCTATTTCCTAACAATTCCCGACTCTGCCAGAAGCCAGGAATCATTCTAGTGTCAATCAACATGAAGACACACAGGAAATAGAACTTAAACTGCATTTATAAGTATGTCTCTAGAATGTGGAGAAAGATGAGGTGTAATGTTACAGACAAATATCTCCCATACACACACACACACGGCCCAGATCTCAGTGACTTGGAGAATTTGCTAATGTAGTTTACTGAAAACAATATGGTTGTGTGGATCAAGGGTGTTGTGTTAGCCAATTTAAGTTTGAGGATACCCTCGTTGCCATTTTTTGTCTGTAGTCAAGCCTTGAACCCAAGGCTGCCTTTCAGTGACAAGGCACCAATAACTTAGTGGTAGCTTTACCATCTGTACATTGTACCACATGTACTCAGGTGATTCTGGAGCTCTTTATGGCTTTCCCTTTAGACAGACCTCCTTCCATTCCATCCCTGAACAACTGGTGGAGGGAGATGTTGCATTACCCCTCCATAGAGAAATGTGGCTGTTATGGCTATAGCAGCTACCATGGCTGGTAGTGAATACGGATAACCATGCAGCTAACCACTGCAGGCATGACCATACCTTAGCACAGCCCTTTAAAAATAAAGCTTGGTAAAGTTATATTGTTCTCTCTATTGAACAGGGTCTGCTACAAGAATTGAACTGAGCAGCATGCCTGTGAAAGTCTACCTCTTATAGGGAAAGATGAAGATGATAGAGTTGAACTATACTGTTCAGGGTCTGAATGAAACATGGAACTACTTTTAAGATAGCATTCCAAATTGGCACTGTCCCTTTAACTATATAGAATATAGTTAATATTCCCCAATGTTAGCACAGTGAACAAAACATTGTTTACTTGGGTTTGAGAAAACTTCTGACTCTGGAGAACAATTTTACAAAGTAAAATGGGATTTCAGCTGCAAATTCCTAGGACAGTGGCAGGCGAACGTAGTATGGTATACCATTGGAAAGGTAGTTTTGCCAGCCTGTGAAAATGTTGGCATCTGAAAATTAGCTTCACTAATAACTGGGTTACTTTTCTTGGGCTTATTTTTTATAACTGCTTCACTCACCTCATGAAGCTAATGGTTTTTAGAACATCCAAACTAGGTCAAGGGTAGTCATTTATCTGAAATTGAGAGTCTACTCATAGGGCAGTGATTCTTAAACTTTTGTACTGGTGACCCCTTTCCAATAGCAAGCCTCTGAGTG